AAAATCGCGCCCCCACCAAGCTGTTAAATTGTTGTTCGAAACTGTAGATGATTTCGTGGAAAAATTGGCCAAGGAAGAAGCTGACAAGGTTGCTCAAAGGTTGGCCCCAGAAGGAGTGGATCAACTTTCCCCCGAGGTACCCGTGCAAACCAAAAGCATGTGCCTGCAAAGTTTCACAATGACCGAAGTCTTTTACAGGTGCAGCGTTGATTTTCCACAGGTTGAGATCCACAGCGGGGGCAGCAAGAAGGACAAGACTGCCCTACGCCTTTGCTTTGGCCAAGCTTTCAACTTGGATGAGGCCTATGAGTTCTTAGAGAACCTATCTTTGCTGGGCTCCAGAAGTGACAAAGGTAAGGATTCTTCAGCCAACGCCCACACAAGCACACTCAATACCTTGCTTGCCCGCGGCAAGACCAAAAGAGCCATGAGGACGCCCACATCGTATGAGGCTTCCAGAACACAGCACATAAGCCTCTCTCTTCTCGGCAACGGGCATCCATCCAAGCTCATATCGATGGAGCGCAACTTGGAGGGCCAGCATGCAGCAGCCACAAAGGAGTGTTTCTTGCTTTGTGTGGATGTGAGCGTGCCGCGGCATGAAACTTTGTACCCTGACATGCTTGCAGCAGATGGTTCTTGGCCGGCCTGGGCTGGCTGCCTCTGACACCACTGCAAGCTACCATCTTCGGCTGGTCTGAGTTCCTCAACAACCCTGGCCACTTTCAGGGACGGTGTTCTTGAACGTGAAGAACAAGATGGGGAAGGATTTTGCCCGACGGGGTTAGCTCTCGCGTGAGGTATGTGTATGACTCCAACTTAACCGGCCTCTTAGCCGCATTAGGATAATGTTGAGTTCAAAATCCATTGCAAAATCCACAGCAGCACCATGGATCGCCATACCCTTTGTTGACAGGGCCAGCTTGTTGGCCACACCCTTTCCCGTGCTTTGGCATCTGCAGTGGCCAATTCAGGCCACTGCTCCATGACGTGGCAGATGGCGAGTTCGAGATCAAACAGAACACGTCCAAGCCGGTGCCCGGAGGGTCTGCAAGTACTTCGCCAAGCGGCCGCACAACGTCCTGGATTTGACCGATCAAGCGCAGAAGCTCTTGCTCGGTGCCTCGCATTGACATGGATCCGCACGCGTCTCAACAATATCCGTGATATGTTTCTTTTTCAAAAATCACGTTAATTCAAGTTTACACCATGTGTCGAGTCAAGCTCCATGCTGTGCTATGTTCATACAGCTTCATTAGTACACCATCCGTCCAATCAACCCTCATGCTGTGCCACGCTTCCACCCAGCTGCTGCAGGCAACCAAGTGGCGCATTTATCCGGGCTACTGGCAAGGATGGCCAATCTTCCATGGGAGCCTTACATGCCAATGCCGCCCATCAGCAGGGCATCCTGAGCGCAGCAGTCGCCATTTTGGAAATGGCTGCCGGAAGCGGCTCCTTTGACGAACAGGGGCAATTGCAAGTCACAGAGGATCACGTGCAGGCGGCAGTGGCGGTGACCAGCTTGCTTGAACTTGCGGCCCCTTGTGAATCCCCATTGCCATGTCACACAGGACTTGGAAGGCCAGCTTTGTTGGCCAATCAGTGGACCAAAGGCCAGCTTGTTGGCCAGTTCAAATGTCATTCCTCAGTAACCATTGCCATGCTCTGCTGTCTGTTCTTTTTTGCGCAGGTTGCGGCAAGGATGGTCGAGCTAAGCTTGGAGATTCGGGAGGTGTTGCGCGGCCCTGTGGATGCCGCCATTGCCCCAACTTCCGATTCTGAAGGTGAACAGTTCAAGCCTGTGCAAGTTCCAGCTCCGCAGAAGCGCTTTGCGCCTCCTGTAGCAACTCAAGAACAGGATGCCTCGCAGCCCACCAAGGGAGAGAGACTTGAAGATGAAGACCACGTTCCTGTTTCAGTTCCTGAATGTTGCTCCCAGCACGTTCAACAGCAAGGGCCAGCGAAAACGGAGCCCCAAAACCCTTTGCATTTCCTTGATCTTGAGCCGGCAGATGCCTTCTTTTCCAGGGGCTTAGGGGAAAATGGTGTCATGATTTTGCCAGGCGACATGCAGGACAGATCCCTCATGCGCAAGTTGCTTCTGCTTGGACGCAGTGAGCTGACACTTGCAAAGGCGGTGGACATCTACCACGTGACCGAAATCAAAAATGGAAAGCGTCGGAAGTTGCGACCTCCCCAAGCCAAAGTCTTGCAAGTCTTTCAGACGGTTTTCTCTCTATACCCTCGGTTTGGGCAAGTCAATCTTTCCACACGCCGTGGCTCTGAGATGCTGTACCACAATGAGGCAATGAGATGCTGTCGGGTGTCCATCCGCGAGATCTCGAAAAGGCGGGCTTTGTGGCATGACCGCGACGCTGGAAGAGACGATCTAGGGGACGATGCCCCTCAAGGAGTTGAAGGGGAGGAACCTGAAGCGGAGGAAGTTGCAGTGGTAACTCCGCAGCCTGCCACACCACCCTGCGGCCGACGCTGAGGCCCGAAGCTATGAGAAAAAAATTGCGACTTGACATTGCTTTTGTTTTCATGTTTTCGCTTGCATATGTCGCTTGCCTACTGTATGCAAGGTCGCCCCTTTTCCTTCAACAATCTTGACTCATCCCTTTGCCTGCTGCGTTGCCTCACTTCCGACCGTCCCGGCCAACTTCTCGGACATGGCCAGCTTGTTGGCCAAGGCCAGCTTGTTGGCCGAGGCAAGCGTGTTGGCCAAGGCCAGCGGCCAGCTTGTTGGCCATGGCCTGCATGCCCCTTTCAAGAGACAGGAAGGAATTCCACCGGCCCATCGGCCACCAGCCACGTGGCACAAACCATCCCGCCAGCGGCCACCGGCCGCCGACCACCAAAGCGCCACCCGGCCACCGGCCTCGCAAAGAAAGACTATACCCTTTTCATGGGTTCTCTTCATTTTTTCCATGAGGTTTCTTCGTTTTCTATGAATTTTCATATTTTTTTGCACGGGTTTCCTTCGTTTTTCCATTGTTTTTCCTGACTTTTACTTCCTGCATCTTCATTTCTTAATGTGTTTTTTTTCTTCCTCCCAAATTAACAATCGATCCAAGCAATCGAGAACAACAGCACCTTGGTGTAAGTTGCATGGAACGCATCCGCCATCACCCCGCGCCCCCCACTCGTTTTTTTTCCCGGCCCTCCCTCGCTGGAAAGTCAACAACAACAACGACGACAACAACAACAACAACAACAGTAACAAATAACATTTTCAAAACTCGATCAAAACAATCACAAACAAAAACAACACCAAGTCCAAAATCGTGCGAAAAACTATCAAAAATTCGATCCAAACATAAAAACAACACCAGGGTGCAAGTACAACAAGGACAAGAAGAAAAACATGAACAAAAACAGAAGCAACAACAACACCAAGTCCAAAATCGCTCAAAACAACGAACATCAACGAGTACGACCGAAGGATCGATGAACAACGCTAGAAAAAACATTGACAAGTATAGAAAAACCGATGCAACGCCGAGGAAAATGAAGAAGGACCATCAAAAAACCGACGGAAAGCGCTAGAAACTCATTAAAAACAACGGAAAATGGAGGAAACACGTTGGAAAACTATCGAAGATAATGGAAAATGGATGAAAACCGCTGGAAAAACAATGAAAAAAAAGGAGGCCAAGAACCCCCCCCCAAAAAAACAATCTTAATTCCGCGCCCATTTGAAATGAGGGATGATTTGGATTTTCGAGGCTTCAAACGAGGATGCATATTTAATCTGGTTGAACACCCTTGTAAAATTCAAATTTGCACTTTGCAGAGGAACAAACCATTCAAGGGATTTCGATCACAGGTTCTCGAAAATCAGAGTGGCGTCCGCTACGGTCCAGGTTGGTCTTAAACCCAAATTGTTTTTCGATTGTAGTGTTGGTTCACCATGGATGTCAATCTTTGTGCAATATTTGTGCGTTTTCCAGACAGCAAGGGGTTGCCGATGTTGACCCCCAAACAAATCCAAGTAGTGCCTTTCCATCTTTGTTCAGAGTGACTTGATCGCAACATATTGTGGAACATGTTCAGCAAATAATCGTCCATGTCTTCGTTCCTGGGGATGAAATACGTTGCATCTAATACCATTCCCGTCGCACAGTTCCGTCGCCCTTGCTTCACGTCTTGCAACTCAGCCACAATGAACGGTTCCACATCTCCATTTCCTCGCTTCATCTACCCTCAGCGAGCTGAAAGCCTTCTCCGAAGCAGATATGTTACTAAGATCTACTAAGTAATGGCGCAAACTCACCCAACATTGGTTTCTTTTGCATACATCATGCGGTCCCGGCATGTTGTGACAATCACGTAGGCGACTCATCGAAACATATTCTTCAACGCAGATTGAATTGCCAAAATTGTTCAGGACATTTTCGACGGAACACTTTCAAAGACGTTTGGACACTTCTCCCTGGTGAACCAGTGATTTTGTGGACTTTCTTTACACAATTAAAGTGTTGGACGTCTACATCTTGAAACAGTTGATTCTGTTCGCATGGTGGTTGTTTCGACACTTGTGTGACAAAATGTGTGCACAATTTCTCCAGGTTTGGTTTTGTTGCGGAGGTGTTCACAATCCCTGGCCAACAGTTCTGGTATTGACTTGCTATCCTATTTTCATCACACATCGATTCCCAAGCACGTTTCACATGTTAGTTTCCACCTTCCTGCCAATACTGGCGTGACCATTGCCTCACCTGCTGACTTGAATGGTTTTTGTCAAGTAAAACCGCCTTGTGGGAGAAACAAATCAAACCCTGCAAGCGAAAAATCACTTCCAGACCCGCAGCAGACCCACTCCAAGTGGAAATATGCACCCCAACGATGAAACAATGGATGGTTGCCTGAGAGATAGTGTTGTGGTCGGATGGAAGGATCCATGATTCCCTCGCAATGCGAAGTGGAGGCTTGCTTGCAGATATCTGGACGCTGTGGAGAAAAAAATGCCAGTGAACTGCAACAACACAGCAACAAAAAATCTTTTTTTCCGTGACCAGAGCCGGACGTGCCACTGCCAAACCATCTCAACGCCGCATGCCCATAGCAATGCAGCATTTCTCATGAACAATATGCATTCCAATCATATTTTGAAAGAGTTCGATCCAATCGTACAGGTGCACGCTACTGTACGTACTAAAATGTTTTCGCGTTTGTTGCGAAATGGTGTGTCCTGCCAAACTGGTCATAATCAGACAGCGTGACTTGAGGGCCTTGACTTGTAATTGCGCAACTTCGTGCATCATATGATGGCGGTGCGAATGCGGGTTCTTTCTTGTGCTCCCCACATGCATGTCAGGGTTCTCAGCTCTGTTTGGCACGGATCAGGATTCAGGATGATTCAGGTTTATCACCATGCTTTAAATTTAAATTTTAAAGCGTACTTGATTCTGCACGGTTTTTGGCTCAACGCTTCAAGCAAAATGTGCAACGCCAAACGTTGGCGTTGAGGCTGGTTGATTTGACACAGTCTCTTCCTTACCCATTCCACTGAAGTGTAAGCAATGTATGCAGCCAGCCGTGTGCCGCAGGATGCAAAGCAAGATCAGCGGCGGGCGGAAACGGATGACATGGCCTTAAACAAGAGTTGCGATTGACATGTGTACAACATCCAATATCGGCCCGCATGTGAGGGATGATTCTTTGTATGGGTTTCCTTGTTTTTTTAAAGGAACGCTACGGGCGAACCTATGCAGGCCAAATTGAAAGCTTCCAGCTAACCAATCCTGAATGGCGTGTCACTGCTGGTATGGATGTGACCCAAAGAAATGTGTACACTGCTTTTCACATGGTCGACGAAACTGCGTCGTTGTATCGCTGGCAGTTGCACCGCTTGGTCTTTGCCAGGTTGGCCTTGTTCCTGGCGAGCCGCTAAGTCCCGTGTCCGAGCGGACAACGGTCAAGAAACAGGACCCATCAAGACATGTGATTGGTGGTCGATTGATCCTATTTATATCCATTTGCAAGGGGCAGCATACTTCAGGACCTCTATATAGTACATAGGATGAATATTTCGACGATCTTGACCATGACAGGTGCTTCGCATTCATCGGGTGGTCATTTTACAATTGCAAACAAATGCTGGTGCAGGATGAAGTTCCCACCACTCCTAACGTGGAGTGCACGCGTGGCAAACTTGGTTGAAAGCCACTGTCGTGCTGTGAGCACTTCCGAACACTCTCAGGTGCGAATCCTGCCACACCTGGGGTCTCAACGCCTGAAGAGACGTTCGAAGCTGAGTGGTAGAGTTAAATGCGATTTTTACAAATTTAATTCATCATGAATCTGCGTAGAATTGTGTAGCAAACACTTTGACATTCGCAGCGAATCAGGTTGGCGCCTAAACCATGCCGTGCATTTCTCGGCTCACCAGGAGGTGGGTGAGGGGCAATACGACTGGAATTCTCGTGACTTGGACCTGGGGTTTGATTTTGGTAGGGGTTGGATGGGGTTGGTAGGGCGAGTGAATGTGACAGCCTACCCACTACAGTATGCGCTGACCCAAAAGTGCAAACATGCAAACCTCAAATACGTTTGCAAAGACAAAGCAGCAGGCGATTGATTTCGATGGTTTTGGATTACAGCATGATGTGGCAAACATTCAAAATTATCGAGCATTTTTTGCAAATGCAACATCAAAGTGGTCAGACAGTGCAGCAAAGAATCTTCATATTTGGCAGGCGCTAGCCTTGCAGATTCGAATGCGGCGGCTGACGAACCGGAGCAGGTGGATGATTGCGTTACGAGTCAAATATAGCTAAATCAAGCTTTTACCCAAGGTTGAACCACATTCTATTATATACCAAAAATGGACGTTTGCCAATTGAGCAAGGTAAAAGCTTGCAAAAAACACTGATTTGCTCGACTTTTCTGACCAGGAATTGAGGAAACTATTCCATGGCCGACACGAGGAGGCCACGCTCTGGCTACGGAGATTTTCGCAGTTTCAGATGTTTCAGATGTTCCTGTGCCCAGCTATGCCATCCTGTGCCCAGCTACTAGGCCCATCGCATGTTCGATAAGGACAGGCAGTGCAGCCCCTGGATTTGACATCGAAATTTCTTCGCCTGGTGGCATCTTCTGACATGGCCCAGGCACGCACGAGCTGGTCATGGGCCCAGAGAGAGCGATTCAGAGGTGTTCCGTGGGCATGAAGTCATCCAGACGCAACACGCATGTAGACGACAGGTAGGACAACGATTCATCAGTACCAACATTTTCCAGTAGATCTAGTAGCATCAGTTGCCAAAATTATTACTTGTTGGGCCCATCATTTTTGGAATATAGGTTGGTTGAAAAATGGGGCACACCCCCAAGAAATTGTAATTTCAAAAAGGACAGCTCATTCAAAAGGCTTCGGCAGAGCCAAATATGCCAGTACAATTCAAATTCTTCATCTCATCCTTTCAACTGAGGTGATGTCGTCCACTCGGAACAGAATCGCCCACTGAGCTCCATCAGCACCAGTCAGACACCCGGTGATGACACTGAGATCTTGTGCTGTCGGGCCGGGGCTGGTGGGTGTGTCCAAACTTGGGGAGTAACTACTCCAAAGTGGGCCATTCTCATGGGTAAATATGGTAGAATGATGATGACAGATGATGACAGATGATGACAGATGGGATATCATTGGATACAGGCGTATGATCGGGTGCCCAGTTTTTTTTCCCAACGAACCTTGGAAAGTCCGAAACTCCATGGAGATCATGGAGGTGAACCGACAATAAGATCTTTCAACGTCTCAACTCAGGTGCTGGGCCGACTCCAAGTCCCGGACCCAAGTGCTGCTACCGCTCTATTTTTGCAGGAAACCTCCAGAGTGTGAAGGGGCAACATGGGCCTAGCATGTGCCAAAAGGAAGGCCATATGTGATACTTTTCGGCCACGGCCACACTTTCCAAATGGACCTACAATGAGCAGAGCAAACCCAAGCACCTAAGTTTATTCGCCGCCGTCTCAGGTTTTGTTTGATGGGGCACAGTTGATAGGAATGACAGCATTTTTTCCCATATGGGAATCCTGCCAAGTGCGACTAGGCAGTAAAAGGGGCAATATACCAGGACGTTGGTGGTTTCATTCTATACACACTTTTCAACTATATATATATATGTATACATATTGATTGGAAAATTGAGAACATGATTTGAAGCTAACGGGTGCAGGGAAAGTTTCAGGAACCCTACATTTTGACGGTAAACGCTATAGTTTCCCGCAGATTTCCCTTAAATCTATCCATTTCATACATATTCGTATAAATTAGATATTCAATTTTTATGCAAGTTCTCCCCATTGTATCTATATATATCTTAAATCTATCCATTTCATACACATTCGTATAAATTAGATATTCAATTTTTATGCAAGTTCTCCCCATTGTATCTATATATATAGTTGAATATAAATAAATAAATAATTCAATATACATATACATATAAATATAAATATAAATAAATAAATAAATATATATATATATATATGATACATCTCATATATCCCCATTCAATCCCCATGAAATCACCATTTTGTCACCGTTGTGTCACAGTTTTTCATGGCCCAAACACCACCAGGTCCCGATGGCCGAACGAGTCCTGGCTTCACCCCATCCTCTGCTGGTCCAGGGCGGCGCGGAAACTACGTGAGAAGACTCAATGGTGACTGCTGTTGTTGATGTAGGAATGTAATGCGTGTATGTATGTATATATATATATATTACACACACACACATATATATATATATGTAGTAGACATATATGGACTTCTATAGTACTATCTATATATGAGTATGGATATATATATATATAATGCAGTAGTATATTATACATATCTGTATGCTACTTATCTATCTGTATATATACTACTGAACAGGTGAAATGTAGCAATGGGATGCAATCGGCCAGTCTGCCACATTGTGACAGCAACACCTTGACCAAGGCTGGCAAGTTGAGAGCTCTCCAAAGTGATGCGGGGCGAGATGTTTCCAAGGCATCATTTCGATGGGACATTCTCGGATGGATTTCCAGTGACATCAGTGTGACATCATTGACCAAACAGTATTTTCTTGCTTGGTGATGCTTGCCTGAAGTGCTATGCCACTGGTGGGTGCGCAGGCTCTTCCCGCACAGGTTCGGAAGGTCTTTGTTGGTGGAATTCCTCAGGACGTGAAATCGGGATGGCTTAACAACATACACTTCTTACTGTAGGGCTGTGGGCATCAAGATTCCAGAGAACACATAGGCCTTGAAGCTACTACGTACGGGCAGATGCTAGTGCCTATAGGGCGTACCGTTTGGTCTTTAGTACTCAGCATCTCATTCTTTTTGAACCGTTTTACCGCGTTCTACCTTTTTCTGGTGTGCTGGTAGTCGAAATAAAGTTAAAGGATGACAATTCTGGTCGGATACAGTGAAATTATATCTACTGCATATAACTAGCTATCGTCAATACATGTTGATGTTATCTAACCAATCTCATTCGGATACTAAGTAACTAAGCAGATGATAAACCACTTATTGCATCATATCGTGCATCGTTTATGTTGTACTTTACTATAGTAAAAAATGTAGGTCAACCAAATGGTAAGAATGGTAACCAGACGTATCCAACAGTTCTCTCGGTTCAACCAAGTCATGGGCTCCTGCAGGATATGCAGCAGGAGGGCCTCACACAGCTCTTCAGCGAGTGGGCTCGATGCCTTCAGAGATCCACCGACAGTGACGACAGCTATCTTAGGGCTATCTTTTGTTTATCATACCTCTATCTATCCATCTAATCTACCTACGGATATCTACGAAATCTGCATGTGTCTACAAAATCCACAGCAAGGATGCGCAATTGAGTCGGCCATTCTCAACTTTGGTAGCCACTTGGTGAGCTCAGTGGACTTGAGGCCCCAGTCAAAAAGGCTTGGGTGCAGCTTGAAGCTCAGTTGGTGGCAGTGCTCCGAGCCATAGCCGCCATAGCCACTTGCTGCTCAGGCGCTTCAAAGATGTCACCAAGTCGAAGGTGACCCAAACTACCCACAACCACCGTGGTGCGGGCGCCAACTGCGGGGCATGGTGGATCATGGGCTCCAAGTCTGGGATAGTTTGGGCACCAAGTGACTCTCAGGTTTTGGCTTCGTGATTTTCCATGACACCAGCGCTGTTGACCAGATCCTGGGCAACGCAGACTCAAAGTTCATTAAGACAAAAGATGGGCACCACCAGCTTGAAGTGAAGCGTGCCATCAGCAGCTCGGTCCCCAGTGTCAGCAACGTCTCAGCTCGGTGATGCCGTGGCGGCTTCACCAACAATTTCCAACCGCAGGCTCTGAGATGCCTGATGGCGCGAGGCTGCGCGACCAAATGCCAACAAACTCGACTGACAAAACGCGAGTGGATGTGCCAATGCCTGCCAGGCAAGCCCCTGATGACTCTAATCCTTCAAAAGGACTTTGTGGAGTGCTGTTGCGGCCATTCCCTTGTTGCTACAGTGGCTTGCTTCCGAAATCGGCTTAGGAAAGTTCCTGCAATGTTTCATGCTATTCTATACTTTTTCTTGTCCAAATCTGGGCACAAAACCTTGTCAGGACGTGGTTTTCAGCAAAAGTCGCCGCCCGTGGTCTCTGAGCCTGTCTTGCGCTGAAGACAGAGGAAATCATAGAAACATGTGCAGCCAAGATTCGGAAGTTCCCTTGGTTGGCTGCACCACTGACAGACTGAGGCGGGCCATGCGCCTCAAGTCCAGCGCATGGATCAAGGCAGTGACAGTTTGTGCTTTCCATCCAGAGGGGTTGTACACCTTATATACCAAGTATGGGTTATTTAAGGGCTGCCGCCCCTGCCGCCGACCCCGGAAGAATTGGCAAGCCGTCAGAACGTATATATGGTACAGGCCTGCACCCCCCCCCCAAAAAAAATGGGGAAAGGATGTTCCTGGGACAGTTTTACACGCATTGTTGCCTGTTATGGTTTTTATGTTAAAGGGGAATGTGCGTTCCTTGGTGTTGATGTTTTTTGTGATGTATGTTGTAAGACATTTTTGGTAAAAACGTTTCATCCTAACCTTGTTGATTATTTTAGGGGAGTATCATCGATTGGGTCAGGATTTGTTGAGGTTGTTAGGGTTTTAAAGTTTTCATTTATTCAACTAAGATTTGAAAAGAAGGGAATGTATCATTAAGATTGTCTATTATTTCTTGATGACTTAACGGTTCTGTCACTTCTTCATTGTTTGATTGTTTTTGTGTTTTTCCATTATCTTTTTGTTTTTGACCGGAATTGTTGGTTTGTGCTCATGTTTTTTTCTTTCCATTTCTTTTTAGGATGGTGTGTCTGACCACCCTTGCGTGAGTCGTAGGCTTCGCAAGGAAAAAGGCACATCGTAATAATTGGGTTTGTGAAATGGAAAGAAAAAACATGGGCCCAAGTCAGCAGCATCAGCAGCATCATTAGCTTCAGCATCAGAATATATATATATATATTGTTATCACTGTTACAATTAAATTATTATCAGTATTTAGTAGATGAATTTGGTGAAAACATGGGGGGTTTTTATCTTGTGATCGTCCTGGTGGTAGCTACAGGCAAAAAGAATTTAAGGTACTGTATCACATCATCCTATTTGAGTTGGCATGTTTATTAACTTACCCATTTTTCAGGTTCAGCATGGGGTTCATCCCGGTATGGTGTTGGTGCATCCCAGCTCGTAGCAGCAGTGTTTCCCATGGTTTTGCAGCGCTTGTCTTGGCGATGGACTGCTTCGCCCTCTGCTCGAAGGAGGGCCGGGTGAGCGGTGGATTTTGAACGGCAAGATGTGTGATTTTTTGCGAAGCAAAATGGGGAATAAACAGAGATACGATGATCTGGTTGGTGCGTTGGAACATGAATTTTATTTTCCATATATTGGGAATTTTACAACCCCAACTGACGAAGTCATATTTTTCAGAGGGGTAGGTATACTACCAACCAGTGATATTTAATGGCATATATCCAGATAAAAAAAATATAAACCCACTTGGAGGTTTAATGGAACAAAACATCTACAACAGGGGGATGTTCAATTGCCACTATCTACAAAGACTCGCCCATAGGATCGATGTATGGTATACAGTATATGCTAACATTTGGGGTATATTGATGGCAAATGTTACCATATATAGCATACATGGATCTTATGGGTTTCAAATACTATCAAAATATTTGTATCATAGTTGAGAATCCGCGTAGTTTGCATAGATGGTGATTATCCAGTTCGCAAACATTCCGCTGAGTCTGGGGGTTTTTCCACACGTAGTCCCCTCACACGTCGAGATGGAAGACAGAGTCATCTTTTTGGACCAGTACACCAGCTTGTATGTTTCACATAGAAAACACCAATGAAACATGTGTGTATAGATATATATATATATATATAGAGAGAGAGAGAGAGAGACATTTCTTCATCGCTGCAAAATGTGGATTGAATTTGGCCACATTTTAGTAGGAAACATTATGATATATGATTAAAAACTTTGGATTTTCGATTTTTCCTTATCATTTTCAGGTTCACCGACAGTTGGCTTGAGATCTTGGGCAGGCTCCACGACTTAAAACGCCGACTTCAGGGCCGAAGACCTCCGAGGCGCTGGCGTCTGACAAATAGTTATTGCGGTGAAAATTATATTATAATGTTTTTTCTCGAACGCGTAGCAAGGGTTCCCGTTTCACTCTGGAGGTCTGGGGGTTGAGGGTGTGTTCGCTCGACGTTGCGTTCACGATCGCAACCGTCCGCAACTGGTCGTCTATTTGCTGCTGTTACTTTTCCTCCTGCTAGCAGGCAAAAAACTTCGATGGTGTTGCCTGCGGTTGCTTGCACTACAACAGCTTCTACCAAATCGCACACACCATGGCTCTGAAGGACGATCTAGTTCCAAAAACCACGCCAAAAAAGTGCCTAACGTCCCGTCTGAAATCCCAGAAAAACAACTTTTTTCGAGAATTTCTGTTGCCTGCGGCCGCTCGCAGGAAAACAACTTCGAAAAAAGCAGCTCCCGGCAGGAAAACACCAAGGCTCTGAAGGACGAACTAGTTCCAAAACCACGCCAAAAAAGTGCCTAACGTCCCGTCTGAAATCCTAGAAAAACAACCTTTTTCGAGAATTTCTGTCGCCTGCGGCCGCTCGCAGGAAAACAACTGCGAAAAAAGCAGCTCCCGGCAGGAAAACACCATGGCTCTGAAGGACGAACTAGTTCCAAAACCACGCCAAAAAAGTACCTAACGTCCCGTCTGAAATCCTTAAAACAAACCTTTTTCGCCAGGAAAGAAATGGAAAACAACTTCGAAAAAAACATAAAAGCAGCCCCCGGCAGGAAAACACCATGGCTCTGAAGGACGAACAACCTTTTTCGCAGGAAAACAACTTCGAAAAAAGCAGCTCCCGGCAGGAAAACACCATGGCTCTGAAGGACGAGCTAGTTCCAAAACCACGCCAAAAAAGTGCCTAACGTCCCGTCTGAAATCCTAGAAAAACAACCTTTTTCGAGAATTTCTGTTGCCTGCGCCCGCTCGCAGGAAAACAACTGCGAAAAAAGCAGCTCCCAGCAGGAAAACACCATGGCTCTGAAGGACGAGCTAGTTCCAAAACCACGCCAAAAAAGTGCCTAACGTCCCGTCTGAAATCCAAGAAAAACAACCTTTTTCGAGAATTTCTGTTGCCTGCGGCCGCTCGCAGGAAAACAACTGCGAAAAAAGCAGCTTCCGGCAGGAAAACACCATGGCTCTGAAGGACGAACTAGTTCCAAAACCACGCCAAAAAAGTACCTAACGTCCCGTCTGACATCCTAGAAAAACAAAACCTTTTTCGAGAAATTTCTTGTTGCCCTGCGGCCGCTCGCCAGGAAAAACCAACTTCGAAAAAAAGCAGCCCCGGCAGGGAGGGAAAAACCCCCCCCCCCCCACACCATGGCTCTGAAGGACGAACTAGTTCCAAAACCACGCCAAAAAAGTGCCTAACGTCCCTTCTGAAATCTTAGAAAAACAACATAAAACAACATAAAACAACTTTTTTCGAGAATTTCTGTTGCCTGCGGCCGCTCGCAGGAAAACAACTTCGAAAAAAGCAGCTCCCGGCAGGAAAACACCATGGCTCTGAAGGACGAACTAGTTCCAAAACCACGCCAAAAAAGTGCCTAACGTCCCGTCTGAAATCCTAGAAAAACAACATTTTTCGAGAATTTCTGTTGCCTGCGCCCGCTCGCAGGAAAACAACTTCGAAAAAAACATAAAAGTAGCTCCCGGCAGGAAAACACCATGGCTCTGAAGGACGAACTAGTTCCAAAACCACGCCAAAAAAGTGCCTAACGTCCCTTCTGAAATCCTAGAAAAACAACCTTTTTCCGAAAACAACTTCGAAAAAAGCATAAAAGCAGCTCCCGGCAGGAAAACACCATGGCTCTGAAGGACGAACTAGTTCTAAAACCACGCCAAAAAAGTGCCTAACGTCCCGTCTGAAATCCTAGAAAAACAACCTTTTTCGAGAATTTCTGTTGCCTGCGGCCGCTCGCAGGAAAACAACTTCGAAAAAATCACCTCCCGGGGGGGAAAACACCAGAGCTCTGAAGGACGAGCGAGTGCCAGAACCACGCCAAAAAAGTGCCTAACGTGTCGTCTGAAATCCTAGAAAAATCTAGATTAGATTTTTGGTAGGCTGCTGGCTACTGGCTGCTGGCTGCTACTGGCGCTGGCTGCTAGCTACTGGCTATGTGCACCTTTTGCGTGCTCTTGCCCACGTTCTTGACACCCATTAGTGCCATCCTAGAAAAACACAATTTTTCGTGCTGCTAGCTGCTGCACTGCTACCATTGCGCTTACTGCTGCTGCGTCTGCTTGTGTCTGCTGCTGCCTGCTGCTGCCTGCTGCCTGCTGCTGCCTGCTGCCTGCTGCTGCCTGCGGGCAGCTCCCCTTTGCGTCGGCCGGTCCCGTCTGAAATCCCAGAAAAACAACTTTTTTCGAGAATTTCTGTTGCCTGCGGCCGCTCGCAGGAAAACAACTTCGAAAAAAACATAAAAGCAGCTCCCGGCAGGAAAACACCATGGCTCTGAAGGACGAACTAGTTCCAAAACCACGCCAAAAAAGTGCCTAACGTCCCTTCTGAAATCCTAGAAAAACAACCTTTTTCGAGAATTTCTGTTGCCTGCGGCCGCTCGCAGGAAAACAACTTCGAAAAAAGCAGCTCCCGGCAGGAAAACACAATGGCTCTGAAGGACGAACTAGTTCCACAACCACGCCAAAAAAGTGCCTAACGTCCTGTCTGAAATCCTAGAAAAACAACCTTTTTCGCAGGAAAACAACTTCGAAAAAAGCAGCTCCCGGCAGGAAAACACCATGGCTCTGAAGGACGAGCTAGTTCCAAAACCACGCCAAAAAAGTGCCTAACGTCCCGTCTGAAATCCTAGAAAAACAACATTTTTCGAGAATTTCTGTTGCCTGCGCCCGCTCGCAGGAAAACAACTTCGAAAAAAACATAAAAGCAGCTCCCGGCAAGAAAACACCATGGCTCTGAAGGACGAACTAGTTCCAAAACCACGCCAAAAAAGTGCCTAACGTCCCTTCTGAAATCCCCCGGCCAGGGAAAAAACACCATGGCTTGAGGACGAACTTTAGTTC